CCCCCTCAGCCTCAGGGTCTTCTCCACGCCCCTCCCAGCTTCCCTCCCTCCGGCCCAGGCCCCCTGAGCCCGAACTTCGCTCTGGTGGGCACCACCTGACCCTGCTCCCTCTGAGACCGCCCTGCCCCGAAGCACGTGCTCCGCGCATGCCGGCAGCGGCTGCTTCTGGGACAGCGATGCTGCGACTCCTCTGCCCCATGGGCCCGAGACTCCCAAGGGACCAGTTCACACTCAGCTGACTCTCGCCCGGATGTCTAGGGCGCACGGCACATGGCATTGCACACGGAGCCCTGCAGCAAAGGCTGAGGACCGAACCCTGGAGGACCTCCCACCTCCCACAGCCCAGGGATCACAAAGACCAGCCTAGAACACAGGGCATCCAACAGCAAAAAGTGCGCATGAGAGGAACCCTCAGCGCGGCTGGTGCGGCTCAGTGGTTGAGCGTCGACCTGTGAACCAGGTCACCACTTTGATTCCTGGCCAGGGCACATGCCCAGGTTACAGGCTAGACCCCCAGCATGGGGCGTGCGGGAGGCAGCTGATGGATGTTCCTCTCTCATCACTGGGGTCTCTCTCTCTCTCTCCCTCTCCCTTCCTCTCCGAAGTCAATAAAAACATATTTAAAAGCAAAGAAACACCCCACAACGTTCCCTTCTCTTGAGCATTTGCTTCCCGGCTTTATTCCCTCAAGAGGGTTAAACTGCCGGTCCTGAGGGCGCCCGGCACTGCCATGGGCCAGGGCAGCACACGAAGCCACAGCCTCTGGCTGCCCCCCGCTGCCGCCAGTGTGCTGGCCACCGCATGCTCCGGCCCGGGGACAAGCGGCCCCTCCCGACAGGCACCTGTGGTGGCTGGAGACAGAGAGGGGACGGGGTCCCACGCCTGGTATAGGTGATGGGTGGCGATGTTCTCCCTCTTCGACACCATTGCTTGAATTTCCTGCTCTACAATTCCTCGGATCACGCTCAGCTTCCGCCCAAACCTAGAATCCAGGACAAAGGTTCAACTTTCAGTTCCTTTAAAACTTTAGACGTGAGAGACGCCAGGACCCGCCCCCGCTCTGCCGAAAGGAGAGGCACCCACAGCACCACAGCACAGCCTCTGCGGGCGACTCCTGTGAGCCCGGCAGACCCTGCTGGCGGCCAGCTCCTGCTCTGCCAGCCAGAGGCCCGCCACCTCAGGCCGTGTCCACTGCGGCCGGTCAAGTCACTCTAGCACGTGCACCTCTCGCAGCAACACGCAAGGTGCTTTGCTTTTTAGTTTCAGTAACAAACGAAAGGGCGGGTAAGCTGCTGGCCTCTGGGTGGGGTGGGAGGAGTGTGCCTCTAGCCCCCTCCACGCTGTGCCCTGGACACGGCAACGCGGCAAACCTGGTGTCGAGTGCTTTCAGGGGCTTGTTCCGGGGCTGCTGCTCCAAGCAGCTGAGGGCGGGGTTGCCGGCCACGGGCACGGCCATCGCGCTCAGCACCAGGGAGGTGATGGCCTGCACGGCCAGGACGTTGATCTGGGTCCTCTCCGTGTCTTCCTGGAAGGAGCCCACATGGGGTCACGTCACGAGCAGCCAGGCCCCAGCACTACCTGTGCCCACCTGCGCACAGACCCCGTGGCCCGGCGGAAGGAGCCTGAGCGCACAGCGGGACACGCCCTCCCCACCAGGTCCCGACCTGTCTGCCTGCACCCACCGCAGCCCCCACACCGGTCACTGGAAACAATCGAATGGGCAAACGTCCACTGCGCAAAGCAAGGTCTCCCACAGGCACCACTAACTCGAGAACTTGGCACATGACCACCCGCCAGCTTCAACGCGTGGGCCCGCAGGCCGTGCACACGGCTCTGACACCCACCACTGAACTGTCCCTTCCGCAGTCACGCCACCCTCCTGCCAGACAGGCCTAGGGTCCATGACATTCACTCTCCCGGGCTTTGCCTTCCGAATGTGGCTTTTCCTAATATTGTACCGATACACGGCCCACTCCCAGTCGCCTGGGAGCGTCTTTGGGTGAGCACGGGCACCTCGGCCCGGCCTCCTCAGGTGCCCTTTCCTTCTGACTGAACTACGTGCTGAGTCGGGAATTACCGACCCCAGTGCCTAACGCACTGGGCTCCGAGCGCCCACAGGCGGCCAGGCAGCTCCCCGGCCGCGGGAGAGCCGCTCTGCTCCAAGCATCAGTCTAGACCAGCCGTGGGCAAACTACGGCCCGCGGGCCGGATCCAGCCCGTTTGAAATGAATAAAACTAAAAAAAAAAAAGACCGTACCCTTTTATGTAATGATGTTTACTTTGAATTTATATTAGTTCACACAAACACTCCATCCATGCTTTTGTTCCGGCCCTCCGGTCCAGTTTAAGAACCCATTGTGGCCCTCGAGTCAAAAAGTTTGCCCACCCCTGGTCTAGACGCAACCTGCTACTCTTACAAGTAAGGTGACACGGGAAAGCGCGCTTGCTGCCCTCCTCTGCCGGCTGCCAGCGGCGGACGCCCAGGCTGCGGGCGGCTTACCTCCGGGGGGCTCTCCTCCTGCTCCAGCACGAGGGGCTGAGTCACCAGGACGCCCAGGAGGGTGGCCCACGTTTCCTCGAACTGAGTGCGGCTGGTCCACCCTACGATGCAAACGTTACATGAGGCAGAGCGTCACCCGCTCCTCCAACGTTCCGACGTGAGGCGCCAGCTGGGCCGCCAGCTCTGACTGGAGCGGGCAATGCCCCCGGCACATCCAGCAGCTGCCTCAGCCCTCGGCAGGTCTGCAATGCAGAACACTGCGGTGCCCACCCTCCAGCGCGGACAGCGAGCACACATGTCCGATGCTGCCCTGGGAGCGGGGTGTGTGTGTGTGTCCGTCTGGCGCCCTCCTGACCCCGCCTGGCAGGTGTGGCCAAGTGGAAAGGGGCCAGGAAGTCCAGCCTCGGACTGAGCTCCTGAATGCACTGGGCACAACCATGGCCGGGACCGGCCCCAGTGGTCAGCGTGCGCCGCATGAGCCCCGCCCAGCTCGGCTGCTGACAGGAGGCAGAGCTCGGTGTCCCGACTGGCTAGAGCAGTGGTTCTCAACCTTCTGGCCCTTTAAATACAGTTCCTCATGTGGTGACCCAACCATAAAATTATTTTCATTGCTAGTTCATAACTGTCATGTTGCTACTGTTATGAATCGTAATGTAAATATCTGATATGCAGGATGGTCTTAGGCGACCCCTGTGAAAGGGTCATTCGACCGCCAAAGGGGTCGCGACCCACAGGTTGAGAACCGCTGGTCTAGAGGGTCAGAAAGGAATGCAGTCTGGCCAGGGCACGCTCGTCGTCCTCAGTGAGGGCGTCGCACCACGTGCTCCGCGCCCCTCTCGTCACCTGCTGGGGCTGCAGTGACAGGATCTCCTCACTAAGATGGACGGAGGGAGGGAGACAGACAGACTGAGATGTGGGTTAGACACCCACACTCGGGTACAAGGACGGCAGACATATACGGGCATTTCCACAGGGAAGAGGAAATCTCGGATCACGTGGAGAAGAGAGAGCGAGAGCGAGAGCAGGTGCCAGGACAAGGTCGTAGGACTGCCCTGGCCGAGGTCCGACTGACAGGCAAACACAGGGCAGCCCAGGAAGGGGGAGCTGGCAGAGGTTGGGAGGCCATGGCTGCCTGACAGCCACCTCCGAGGGCAGGGAGGGAACCTGCCCCGGCGGCCGCCTCCATGCTACTCAGATCTCATGTCGGTCGGCGGGTAATGCCTCGTCCTCGGGACTACAGGGATGCAGGCCAACAAGGTGTCTGCTGCCTGAACCTTCAGGACCGAAGCCAGTGCCACGTCTGCAGAAGCCCGAGGCAGGAGGCTCCGCAGGGACGAAGGGTGGGCCTGCCCGGGCCCATGGGTGCCACGCCGGACTCCCGAGACACTGGTTTCTCGGAGTTCCGCGCAGGGCACTGCCCCCCAGCACCGCCCTTTCGACCCCGAGCAGATCACACCTGCACCATCAAATGGGGACAGAAGCGGCCACGGCCACGGCGCTGCAGAGTGGGAGGCCTGAGGGAAGCGGTCGCTGTGCCGCGGGCAGCGCGCAGGGCGGCTGAGAAGGCCGTAGGCAGCAGGGCCCACTCAATCCCGAGGACCGAGCTGGGCCGGGGCTGGACGGCCTGCCCACAGAGCCTGGCTCTCCTCTGATGTCTGCTTCCTCTGCATCGGCCACGGTGGCTCCCGCACACCCTGCCCGTCCCGCACACGAGGCGGCGTCAGTGACCACAAGGCGCAGGGACCATCCCCGTCCCTGCGGGCGGGGTGCCTCCTGCGGGGGTCGGATTCAGCTCCCCATCACCAACTACCAGGCTCCGACCCGACTGGAGACACACTGACACGTGGAAACCTGGGATTAAACGCTCATGCAGACACGTGGGTGGAAGTTCTCAGGGTGAGTGTGTGTGCGCTCAGAATGCCTGCCTGCGAGCAGGCGGGCCCAGACCTTCCACGGGACGAAGAGGCGCAGAGCGCACTCCGGGACGGGGACCCGAGGCTGGCACCCTGCGGAGGAGCCCCGCCTACCCAGCGTGTTGATGCGGTAGATGAACTCTTTGAAGACTTCCTTCTCCTGGAGGAACTCCACGGGGATCTCGGGGAAGGCTGTGCCAAAATCCCCTCCCGGCGTGGGTGACCACCCGAGCTTCCAGACCTGAGTGTGGAATGAAGTCGCTGAGCTCCAGCCCGCAGGCCCCAGCGCGGTCACAGCTGCCCTCCCCTCCTCGGCCCGGCACGGCCCGGAGCGAAAGGGCCGCTGGAGCTCACCCAGGGGCGGGTCTATGGGCCAGCTCCCTGCGCCTCACGCAGAAAGGCCAGCGTTGCTGCAACTCCAGCTGCGCGCCAGGCCGAGGGAACCAGGCAGGGTCAGGACTCCCTGCGGCACCGGGCCACCCAAGGCGGCAGCCGAGCTGGCCCAACTGGGTCACCGGAACCCCCACCAGGGCCAGTCTGCAGACTCACCAGGGGGGGGATGCGCGTGTAGCTGTTGACGAGGGGCAAGCGGGCCAGGCTGACCACGATGTTCCTGAGCACGGATGTGAGGAACGCGGGCATGTGGCTGTTCCTCTTATGCCCCAAGGCCAGCACGGACGGCAAGGCCTCCACCAGCTCTGCCACCGTCCTGCAGGCTGCAGTCACGTGCTCGGGGCCTGAGCCAACGGGAGAGAGGATGGACACCCCCAAACCTCCTGATCTTCCTGCCTCCCAGGGAGAAGGCACACCCCGCCCCAGGAAGGTGGCACCCCCCAGGCCTCTAGCTGGCCCCTGAGGACCTACAGACTGCAGTTCGGGCTCATCTACCCGCGTCGGCCTGGTCTCCTGCCTCGGGCCCTGCCCTGCCCTGCCCGCCCCACACTGCCTGCTGCTGCTGGCAGCACCCAGCCTGACCGCAGGGCAGGGCCGGATGGCCTGGGTCCTGGAGGCCCTGGTGACAAGGAGCCCCAGTCCAGAGCCCTCCCGCCCTGCCCTGCACCACGCTCCGGGGAAGACACCGAGTCAAGAGGAAGTACGTGAAGAACCGGGGCATGTGCCTGAGTCTAGAGCGGGGTTAAGTGAATGGGATGTGGAATTTCCATTTAAAAATCCACCGAGATAGACGGCTGCAATACACACTCAGCTAGCTAACGTCAGGAGGGCATTTCCACTAGCTGCAAGCTCCTTAGCATTTCTACTCACTCATTCATCACTCCACCAGCATCTGATGGGCAAGTACAACAGTGAGCACACAGAGAAGGGAAACATACTCCCTGCCCCCATGGGGCCAGAGTCTGAGGTGAGAGACATAAGTGCATAGAGAACGTAGTGCCAGGATGGAGAGCGGGTGGAGAAGAGGATGGAGGAGGGGATGGATGGAAAAGGGGATGGATGGGAGGATGGATGGAGGGGAGGATGGAGGGGAGGATGGATGGAGGGGAGGAAGGAGAAGATGGAGGGGAGGATGGGTGGAGGGGAGGAAGGGGAAGATGGAGGGGAGGATGGATAGAGGGGAGGAAGGAGAGGATGGAGGGGAGGATGAATGGAGGGGAGGATGGAGGGAGGGGAGGATGGAGGGAGGGGAGGATGGAGGGAGGGGAGGATGGAGGGAGGGGAGGATGGAGGGAGGGGAGGATGGAGGGAGGGGAGGATGGAGGGAGGGGAGGATGGAGGGAGGGGAGGATGGAGGGAGGGGAGGATGGAGGGAGGGGAGGATGGAGGGAGGGGAGGATGGAGGGAGGGGAGGATGGAGGGAGGGGAGGATGGAGGGAGGGGAGGATGGAGGGAGGGGAGGATGGAGGGAGGGGAGGATGGAGGGAGGGGAGGATGGAGGGAGGGGAGGATGGAGGGAGGGGAGGATGGAGGGAGGGGAGGATGGAGGGAGGGGAGGATGGAGGGAGGGGAGGATGGAGGGAGGGGAGGATGGAGGGAGGGGAGGATGGAGGGAGGGGAGGATGGAGGGAGGGGAGGATGGAGGGAGGGGAGGATGGAGGGAGGGGAGGATGGAGGGAGGGGAGGATGGAGGGAGGGGAGGATGGAGGGAGGGGAGGATGGAGGGAGGGGAGGATGGAGGGAGGGGAGGATGGAGGGAGGGGAGGATGGAGGGAGGGGAGGATGGAGGGAGGGGAGGATGGAGGGAGGGGAGGATGGAGGGAGGGGAGGATGGAGGGAGGGGAGGATGGAGGGAGGGGAGGATGGAGGGAGGGGAGGATGGAGGGAGGGGAGGATGGAGGGAGGGGAGGATGGAGGGAGGGGAGGATGGAGGGAGGGGAGGATGGAGGGAGGGGAGGATGGAGGGAGGGGAGGATGGAGGGAGGGGAGGATGGAGGGAGGGGAGGATGGAGGGAGGGGAGGATGGAGGGAGGGGAGGATGGAGGGAGGGGAGGATGGAGGGAGGGGAGGATGGAGGGAGGGGAGGATGGAGGGAGGGGAGGATGGAGGGAGGGGAGGATGGAGGGAGGGGAGGATGGAGGGAGGGGAGGATGGAGGGAGGGGAGGATGGAGGGAGGGGAGGATGGAGGGAGGGGAGGATGGAGGGAGGGGAGGATGGAGGGAGGGGAGGATGGAGGGAGGGGAGGATGGAGGGAGGGGAGGATGGAGGGAGGGGAGGATGGAGGGAGGGGAGGATGGAGGGAGGGGAGGATGGAGGGAGGGGAGGATGGAGGGAGGGGAGGATGGAGGGAGGGGAGGATGGAGGGAGGGGAGGATGGAGGGAGGGGAGGATGGAGGGAGGGGAGGATGGAGGGAGGGGAGGATGGAGGGAGGGGAGGATGGAGGGAGGGGAGGATGGAGGGAGGGGAGGATGGAGGGAGGGGAGGATGGAGGGAGGGGAGGATGGAGGGAGGGGAGGAAGGAGAGGATGGATGGAGGGAGGACAGGAGGGAGGGGCGGGAGGAGAGGATGGATGGATGGAGGGAGGACGGGAGGGAGGGGCGGGAGGAGAGGATGGATGGAGGGAGGGAGGACAAGAAGGAGGGGCGGGAGGAGAGGAGGGCCTCCTGGGAGTGTGCCACCCGCTGAGTGGGAAGGTCAGCCACAGGGAGCCCGAGGCGGGAAGAAATGCAGGTGGAGGAAGGATACCGTGCAGGGCAATGTCCCCAGTTGCCTTTATTTATTTATTAATTTGTTTTTTAATATATTTTTTTCTTGGTTTCAGAGAGGAAGGGAGAGGGAGAGACAGAAACATCAGTGATGGCAGAGAATCACTGATTGGCTGCCTCCTGCACGCCCCCTACTGGGGATTGAGCCCGCAACCCGGGCATGTGCCCTTGGCTGGAATCGAACCTGGGACTCTTTAGTCCGCAGGCCGACGCTCTATCCACTGAGCCACACCGGCCAGGGCCCACATTGCCTTTCAGTGTCGGGGTGAGCAATGGGACCAGCTGTGTTCACCTCCCAGGGCCCACGCTGACCACTTCACATGTCTCTCCTGCTAGTGAATTCCAAGCCCCAAACAGGTCCTGACACTCACTCTGTGTGCGGGAGTCTCCTCCGTCCTCTCTGGCAGCCTTCGGGGTGTCTGTCCTTCTCTCTAGACTGAGCAGCTGGTCTCCGGGCTGCACCACAACTGCATCAGGAAAGGACACACGGGAGGATTGCTCACACCGCCCACCCCGTCATTCCCATTTCAGTTATGCAGCCTCCCATGCCAAGGGCAGCCGACGCCACACAAGGTCTAGACATCCCGGAACCGGCTTAGACAGTTCCAGGCGACACCAGACCTCGGTACCAACGTCTCGGCCAACCTGCAGCGCCGGCGGACAGGCTCCTGGGCTCCGACTTCCCAGCCCCCGCCCCCATGTCTGCTG